TTTGTTTTGGCTAAATAATGGGATAGGAAAGATTAAAATGAGAAGTTGCTTACAGCGCCTGAATTAGTAATTAGGCAAAACCCCTTAAATAGAGAAAAGGTCTGTCTGTATTGTTTATCTTCATTATTCTCCACATATTTTGAACTAAATTATTCTCCCCTGCTCTGTTTTACTAAATAATCCCCAAGAAACTTCACTGCCTTCTAGCATCAATCCTGAATGAAAAACTAAAACCAAAACCAAAAGGTGCCTCCCAAACTGCGTAGGATTGAAGAGGCAACGACCAGCAAATGAAACCCTGTTCGAAACTCCCAGAGGGAAAAAGAAAGGCTGATATTTCAATGCTGACCTGTGAAGGCTTGTGAAATGCCACTGACTCCATCAAGTTCATCAACTTTCCTAGTGGCTGTTTAATACCTCGAAGCTATAAACGGCTTGATTTGGGCAGATTCCAGGTTTTCTCAGGTTTGAGCTCATCTGTTTTTGTTGTTGCATCCAGGTGGCGGTGGAAGAGCTACATAATTTAGAAGTTATTCTCTCCCTGTTTTTGAAGTCTGTTTGGTTCGATGCCAGGAAGATAAATCTGAAGTTCCAGCGGTCATCAGGTTCTCACGATGACAGTGGAACTCAGGCGTCGCTCCTGTTCAGGGCCTCTGTGTATCAGTCCTAATTCGAGAACTTTGATATTTCCCCAACTTTGTCGTCTGACTGGTCAGTCTGAAACCAGCTGACTCAGGTAACAGACATGCCATGAAGAGAATGTAGGCACTGCCCACCTCAGTTTCTCCATCACACCTGGAGACCCGCCACTCAAACGAGGATTCCCTGGATTGCTTGTATTTACGGGAATAGATTCGCTGTATCTTACAGCTTTTAGAATCCTGACCCTTGAAGGTCAGAGACCCACGTGGTAAGGCAGCGGAGGGGAAATTCATGTATAAGGTCTCTCAGAGTTGCTACTTGCAAAGCTGAGAAAATGACTAAAGACGAGAAGTGATACTTGTGGTGATAGTTCCAAATCCTGGGCTTTCACTGGTGGCTGCAGAGGTCTTTTTTGCAGTTAAAGCCTTCCACCGTAACTATGACAGTCGCCTGTGTAAAAGAAAATGCATGCAGACACTTTAGGGGATCAATCCACTCCCCAGGGCATGGCCGGGGCTTTCCTCTTGGCTCGTGGGAGTTGTGGGATCACCTGTGACCTGGACAGTGGCACCCACACGAGGTGAACCGAAGTTGTGAACAGGCTCTCTCTCCGCGGAGCCCACCAGTAGTCCTTTGATAGCCCCATGCTGTTTTGATTACAGGTGGTGGCTATTGATGTGGACATGGCCTTTTTTGAACCTAAAATGAGGGAAATCCTCGAGCAAAATTGCACAGACGATGAAGACTGCAATTTCTTTGACTGTTTTTCAAGATGTGATTTACGAGTCAACAAGTGCGGAGCGCAGCGCGTCAACAACAACCTGCAGGTAAGCAGAGGCTGCCGGGGCTCGGGGGAGAGAGGGTGCTGTCTGGCTGTTTCTGCCTGCTGGCACTTCAGATACCCTCAGTGGAGCTCAAGGTCAACCTTTTCAGGCCATCCATCTGGCTCGATGTGGTCAATAAAGGCAGGAGGGTGGGGATGGGACAATCATGTGCTCTTGGTTGCCTACCCCCAGGGTTGTTGGCCAGGCGACCAGGGGCATCTGATGAGGGAGCTCCTGCAGAGCTGGCTGCTGGGCTTCCTCTTGCCCAGGCTCCACCCCACGTATCTACCACCTCTCATAAGCATGGGCACATACACGATGAGAACCCTGAGACTAATCCATCAAAGATAATACTGAGAAGGGTGCGAAGCAGTCCCGAGACACTGGCCTAACTAGAGGTTGAACAGAAACTACCATCCAGACAGGCCAGAGGTCAGTACCAGGAGGTGGTTTAGAGAGGAAGAAAGGAGCCGAGTCCAGGAGATCAGCCACAAATGGAATACATACAGGGTTCAGGCAGTCAGAGCTGGCGGGTCTCAGGTCCCCCAGCTGGGGTTGGAGCATCTCCCCTCTTTTGGCAGAAGCTGTCCCTTTCTGCCATCACTTGAGGCTTTCAGGTGACGGCGGAGACATCTGGGCCCACAGGTGTTGATTATACCCGGAGGAGGTCCCGCAGTGTCTAGGCAGACCTCCCCTATGGCCTGGTTGCATGCAATGGCCTACAGAGGCTCTGGACCCACACTATCCAACCCACTCCCCTAGAGGGCCCTCCACTGTAGCTTGTCCTCCTCATTCCTTAAACCTGAAAGGCCAATGTGAGCCCACTGCAGACCCAAAATGCAGTTGAGGTGGGAGCAGGAGAGAGAGGAGAGAGGAGCCCCGTGTGGTGCTGCATCAGCCGTGATGGGGGATGATTTGGGAAGGCGGGGACAGGTCTGCTGTTAACCTAGTGGTCCCAACCAAGCCAAACGAACACCCCGACTCCACCACCCCAGAGTCTACACAGACCTTTTAGGCCAAAGAATCACTGAGCATTTCCCTTTCAGGAAGCCTAGGAATGTAGCTGCCTTCAGAGGCGTCTCCATCCCAGCCTCTTTAATGTGGACTCACACCCTTGGTGAGGTCCGTCATGAAATCATTCTTCTTGAACTGTGGGAAGAAGATAATTTTCACCTGAGTGTCCACTGCCTTGTGATCCCAGCTCACAAAATGGGAATACAAATGCCTGCTCTTTGCGATGTAATGAGAGGCTGAGTTTACACCCTTTCTGTAGAAAGGGCTCTTACCAATTCATCAAGGGGCAAGAGGAACACAAAGAAAATTGGCAGAACAGGCACCAAACACACAAACGATGAAATCCAAATGGCCAGACAACTTGGACAAACTTTTTTTTTTTTTT